TGCAGTAAAGGTCCTGCAGAGCATTTTGCCCTCCCCAAGAGATCCCACATCTGCCCGTGGCCCATGAAAGATGTTCTCCTCATCGTTCAGGCTCCTCAGCCATTGCCGGGGCAACAGCATCCCCAGCGAGCCGTGCCATAACAACAAGCCCACGGCTCTCGGCACCACTGCCTGCCCAAGAACAAGAAAATAGACTCATAATGGATGTAAGTGCAAGACCAGCCCTGGTGGGGAGATGCTGTTGTGCAGCAGCACGGTGTAGACTTTGCATGTACAACGGTGTTTGCACCCAAGCAACCCTCTCCTTCCCCAGGGCACTGCAACCTGCTGGTGGTCTGCCCACCTCTCGTCATCGCAGAAATCTCCCCTGTGTTGGAAATTAACATTTGCTATTTAAAAAGAGCTTTGCTGAGGCTCCTGCTGGCAGGAGCTACCATCTGGTTTCAGAGAACAGCAAAGAAGACCCTACATTAATACACGGAGGCTGCTGTGGACCTGTTAAGTGTGGGATTTCACCAGGGTTTGTTTATCTAAAAAGCAAGAGATGCCCACAGGGCCTGCCCAGCCCCAGCATCACATGCAGCCCTCACTGTTCAGCTGCACCCCAGTATAGACCACACCATGCAAAAGCACCTCACAGAAACACAGACTTGCACATGCACAGATGCAAAGGCACGCAGGCATTGCCCAGCCCTACCTAGAGGACATATTCCCACCCTGGCCGGCCTGCCTGCTCCCCCTGGAGCACAGTACACCCTCCATACCCACAATGCACAGATGAGGCAGGTTCCTGGAGACAACACGCTCGTGCTCTCACATGGTGCAGCCCATGGCCAAGGCTCTGCTTTGCGGAAGACAATGCCTTGTACACCTCTGCCAACATGCACAAAGACTACATCCACACTGCGTGCACAGGAACAGTCATGCACACCCAGGCAAGCCACCTCCCCAGGGCAGCAGAGCCGCTGCCGAGAAGCCACCATTGTCCACTTACGAGCCTGGCGTCCCCCGAAGCCTTCAACACTTGGCTGCTGCCTAACACGGGCTAGCAGGGGTAGCTGGGGAGCATCCCTTCCCCAGGAGCCTCCCGGGCTGTCTCCGGAGCACTCAGGCTTTTAAAATGCGTGTTGAGCTGCAAAGCAAAGCCAGCACAAGCAGAGCTGCCTGCACCCCTACCCTTCTCCTCTGCCCAAGCAGAGAAGCAGGCAAGGTGGCCGGGCAGCACCCTGGCAGTGGCAGAGGGGCCCCCGCGGTGCATGGGGAGGATGCACACGTGCGTGTGCATGTGTCTCGTCACTACAGCACGCCCATCCCCTGAGCATCCTCGATGCCCTGAGCAGCAAGGCACACTTCAGAGAAGTTAATAGCAGCCAGCTTTGTGTCTGGGGGATGAACAGGGAGGAGGGAAACGTGCTGCTCAGGGGTGCTCCATTTTCCCTACCCACGCGTCCCCTTCTCCCCTTGCAGCTCACCAGTGGCTGGAGGGACCCCGAGACACCTCTCAGGGCAGAGCCCGGCTGGAGATCATAGCCATCCTGAGCAGCTCTGGGTCCAGTGGCTCTGGAGTCCCCAGCAAACCTTGGGGAAGGGTCACTGCCCACCTGGGGACAGGCACAGCCAACAGACCCCCAGTTGGGCTCAGGTCCTGCCGCACAAGGGGATGACCGGGATTGCCTCCTGGGCTGCCTGCTCCCCTCCCAGCCCTCTGCCCTAGCGAAAAACAAAGCTGGTGACTATTTCCCTGCTTCACAGGCTGTGCCATAGCTACTGCTACTATTTGCAGAAGTAGCCACATTTTAACACCTTCCCATGCAGTTACCTCTTCTCATGCTCAGGGAGCAGGAGACCAAATGTGCTGCTCTGGAGTCCTGGCAAAGAGAGCTGCAGAATTTGAAGATGATCATGAAACGCATCTTTCACCAATTTCTGCCCTCGTATTTTGTTCACAAAGCCATTCTAATAACCAGTTAGCAAAAAATTTGCATCTGCAAGGCAATAAGGAAGAGGTTAATTTTTACCCCCTTCCTCCAGCATCTAGCCACTTGCAGTGGCTGAGGCTGGATCAGTCCCTGCCGTGTGCATGGAGTCCTGCACCGTGTGCAGGGCTGATCTGAAAACACCAGCACCTGGAGTCCCTTCGCTATCAAAGGTTTACCTTTTTTTTCCTTCAAAGCCTTAAATTCCACTTGTTCTGATCTCACTGAGAACCCGGACAGCAGGAAGCCCGAAGGAAGAAATGGGATTTTTGTAGCCTTGGCCGGGGCTGCTGGCAACATTGGGTGCTGCCTGGGTGAGCACTCAGCAGCAAGGGATGCATCACCCTGCTCTTGTTCCCCTGCCACATACCCTGGCCCTGGGGACAGCTCACAGACCAGGAGCACCAGCAGTGGCATGTGTCCCCCTTCCATCTCTCCTTTTGCTCCCTGCCTGCAGCTGCCTTCAAAAGCAACACAGGAACTCCAGGAGCTGCTCCCTCACAGCTCCCTCGAGCACCATATTGCACAAGACACTTTATTTTCCATGCACGTCATTGTGGCAGTGACCCTAGGAGACAGCCAGCCCTGCCAAATGTGCTGCCCTGGGACAAAGAAGAGCCAGGAGGAGGAGGCAGGGAAGAGAGAAAGGAAATAAATAAAAGCATTGCACCCCAACAGGGACAGCATTAACCAGAAACTCTCTTCCTCCAGACCCCTCCGGCCAGGGCGGCTGGCATGCATGTTTTACATCAGCAGGCCAAACGGCCTGTAGCTCTAGAGATGTCAGAAATCCAGCATCTGATTAAATAAGCATGTGTGGCTGAGACATCCAGCACCAGGTCAGAGTCCTGCTGCCAAGGGAATAAACCTTACCTGTCCCCATCCACTGCGATACCAGGATCAGACTCCACGGTTGGTAGAAGAAACACGTCCAGAACACACAGAGTTTATTAAAATATGCATTTTATGGGTCAGTGTTTCCAGATTTACACGAGGATTTATGCCTTACATAAAAGTCATATTGTGTCCCCTGCAACCTGCCAATAATTAGCCTTTGAGAACACATATAGCTTGATCACCTCTCCTCCAAACATCTTCAATCCACACTGTGAAGGTGGTGTGTCCCCCAAAGGCTCAGCCCTTCTCACCCTAAAATACATCTTAAAAAAAACCCAAAACTACAAGCTTCCTCTAAAACACTTTACACCTCTCAGAGAAGAGAAACCAGCCAATTCCCTGGCATGAGTCACACAGCAGCAGCCCCTTTATACAGACCTGTTGTGTAAGGTCCCCTTGTAACCCTGACCACATCCCTGAGCCACAAACCACAGAAGCCACCCCTGCACCAGTGCTCCCATCCCTTACATACACCCTGCCACGGCACGGCACACCAAGCCCACCACACCATCCTGGCTCTCATTTGCAATAAATCTCAGTGCTCTCCTCAGCTCACCTATCAGCCACAGGTTCAGACCTGCAATTACTTGTGGGACAGTTATTTATTAGTCAATGTCCAGCTGCCAGATTTACAGTCACGGATGCTTGATGCAGTTGCAGGCAGAAAACACCCAAGCATCCATGTCTGTAAATAAGCCATTGGGACATCTGGATGACCTGCAGATCCAGCTACAATTATTTACAGGTGGAACAGAGAGGTCCTGTTAGGCCATGCCAAAGCCTGCCCCCAGAGCCTGCAAGCACAACTCCAGCAGATGTGCTGGATGAACCACCAAAAGCGTCTCAAAGTCACCTCAGATCCAAGTTATTAAACTCCACAGAAGGAAAGAAACAGCAAAGCTGTTGAACTGGGCTTGTTTTTAGCTAAAGAGCCTCTGAGCCAAGAATTCCCCTCACCTGTGTTCTTGCACCATTGCTGAAGTTACAGCCTGGCAGCAGAACTGGGAGCGATCCCGCACTCTGGCATTGGCAACCTAACAAATATCTACTGCTGCCCAAATGCTGCCCAATGGCCTGTCTGGTGCTATCACTGTTGGTACAAGGTCTTATAATCCAGACAGTCACCATGGGGAGGTTTCCTATTTAAATCTCTCTGGGAAAGAGCCAACCTCCTGCATAAGCCCAGACCTCAGCAACGCTCTTACAGTCAATTTGGATCTGAACATTTGCAAACCTGCTGCTGAACTGCCTCCAGCAGGATGGGAGCCGAGGAGACGGTGGCACAGCAGCGGCTGCAGGGATGCGAGCTCCTGGCTCTTCCAGCTCCATCCCTCCTAGAGCAGGGGGTATGGCATGGGAGAACTGGCAGTACTACCTCCACCAACGAGCAGTTGCACAAGGAAGAAAAGAAAACCTACCAGCAGTTTAAAAACACTCAACCACTCTACACAAGCTTTTGGGGTGGAAGATGAGGAACAGACCGCAGCAGTTGGCTGACCCTTTTATGGGGTCAGAATTGAGTTATCCAAGCTGGGATGTGGTCAGGGGACTGGGCCCACCACAGTCTAAGAGTGTAAGAGGACCCCATGTCCGCAAACACTCAATGCCTTGGTTTTGCATCTCCTCTGGCAGACAGCCCAAGGGCCAGAGGGTCTCCCATAGCTTTCCACAGGACAGACACCTCCTGTATCAGCCACCAATTTCTTATGAGACCTGGGCTCTTCGCAGCAGCTTCCCACACAAGCACTGACACCATCAAACATACAAGGTGGTTTCTAGTGTACACAGAGCATTTGCAGCCACAGCCCAGCCCTGGGACTACACCTGTTGGGCCGTACTCCTTGTACCCCACCCCTCCCCGACACCCATCTCCAGCTCCTGTGCCATGAGGTCCAGCTTCATCATTTCCCTCACCTACCTCTGATACTAGAGCATGGGAGAGGGATGGCACCTTCATGGTAATCAGGGCCTAAAGGACACAGATCCTCAAGGGCCTACAGTGCAAAAAGCAGGTCAAGTTAAGAAGAAACACATAGTTTTACTGTTTGCAAGTACGTGAGCAAGGATTCGCTCCCTGCCCTTACCCACCCTGCCAGGGTAGGGCAGGGGAGGTCGGGGCATGGGAAATTATCTCCTCAGCCAGAGCCACGTGTTGATGAGGCAGGCGGAGATCAGCACGGAGTAGACCAGGGCCTCCTTCTGACGCCAGGTGTTGCACTGCTCCTCCAGCACGCGGAGCCTTCCCGAGATCCTCGTCAGCTGCAAGGGAAGCAGTGGGGCTGCTGTCAACCCTGCAGCAAAGTGCAGGACACTGGCTACACCCCAGAGGCGTGGGACAGCAAGAGGTAGAGGGATGGGAGCTGCCATCTCCTTCAGGTCCTCCTTTTCTAGAGCAGCACCTATCTTTGCGTGGGAGAAATAGCAGCAGTGCCTCAGCTCCTGAGCAGATGCTTCAGGAAAAGGTCCTTCCCACCAGAAGAGCATCTGAGCTCTTTACTGCCAGCAGATGGAGGGGTCTGGCTGTCTCCTGTAGCCCTACAGCCCCTCAGGGTAGGAGCTTGATGAGTCAACACACATGTAAGTCCTCCCGTGCTTCTCCATTAGCAGCATCAGCCGGGACTAGCTTGGCAACACCAGCCCATCGGGACTGAGCAACAGATCCCTGGAGCCCCCTTTCCCACCCTCCTATGGCTTTCCCACAAAACATTTGCAGCCCTTCACCCCATCTCACCTGCTTTCTCATTGCTGCCATCTCAGCCACTCCGACCTCCTCCAAGGCATTCTCCAGGGCTGGGCCAGCCTCCTGGGAACTGGGGAAGAAAAACAGAGATGCAGACGGACAAACACTGCTTGAGAGGTGCAATTGCCTTCTCGCACATGCAGCACTGCCACGGGGAGCCGAGCCATGCAGGTAGCGTATGCGTGCCCAGGATGTGCTGTCTGGGTGCAGCATCAGGAGAAAGGAAACAGCACCTGCACAGGATCTACTCATCTCTTCTTAACCCCCATCATGCATATTTATAGCCCTCCACCATGCACCCCATAATGATCACAACAAAACATACAGCTCATGCCATGGCATACAACAGGGAAAACGCATGCTTGTATTTCTTTAGAGGTCCAACAGAGAGAAAACATGATATTTACCAAGTATCCATTCTCTATAGTCAGAGGACTTCATTGAGGGCTGGATAAATCACCTTTAGAGCCAGTCAGGTAAATATGTATCACAGGGCTAATGCCGAAATGGAGGGATGATCTCATTTACATCAGCAGGTGAGGATCCCGCTGGTGGGACGCAGCCATCAACTGGGGGGAACTATCTGAGCAAGTGCATCAGCCAGCAGAAAAGGGTCCTGTGTTTGCCGAGACAAGGATTTGTTCCTCTCCAGTATCTCCAGATAGCACAAGCTCACTCTCCCTGCCCCCCACCCCCGACAAAAAAAAGCATCCTTTTTGCTCTTATAGCAAATTTTACCTGCAACTTGAGACATAAACAAGCAACCCAAGCATGCACCACTTTCTTCCGTCCCTGGAAACAAAGGGGCTACCGCTGGGATTAGCTGCTGCACTGGCAGAGGCAGCACAGACCACGGATCTCCAGGGCATCCCCTGGAGACACAGCCTTGCCGCAGGGCCCACAGCACTGCGCCACAAAATAAAGTAGATCCACAGTGAGAAAAATCAAAACTGCCATGTTTGGTCTGTTGTTCCTATCATCATAGACTAGCCCTACATCAGTTCTTCTATAATCAAAACTCCCCTATGCACACCAATAACTCGCGTGGGCACTTGCTGATACCAAGCATCTGACACCGCTCCTTCGGAGACCTTGGGGAGGAGAGGATATTTATTCCTGTTTGCAACATGATGTTGATCTCGCTGAAGACAAGCCAGAACTGCATGTGGAGATTCAGTGAATCTCTGTCTGAAAATACATTTGTGAGATAATACCTCCACGTAATGTAGCTGCAGTGTAAAATGAAAGTCACAACACAAAGAAAATCAAATTTCCCCCAGCACAGAGTCATTAAATAGGGACACATCCTGCAGCTTTTGACTGAAAAATCCCAGTTGATACAGGTGAACGTCCTTTAGAGTAGAGACTAGAAATTACCCTCTGATGGCTCATACCCTTCAAGAGGTCACTGTCAGGCAAATATTCCAGTCTCTATCTGAGACCAGACTTTTCTTTATTAAAATTTCAGGACAAACAAGCCAGCTCAGTCATTTTTTTATTTTTATTGTTGCGTAGGGTTACAAAGTTGTCGTATTGAAGAGATACCCATATGCATCTGAAGTAATGCAAATACCAAGAAGAGGTGTTTCAAGACAGCTGGTTTCAAAGGGAGATTGAGACCTGGGGAGAGGCCATGGACTGTGGTGGTGCATTCCCCCCACCCACGCCCTTCTCCTGGGCCACTTGTTGACCTCAGAAATTCCCGTAAAACCTTGGCCTTGGTGTACTGAGTCTGGTGGTTAAGCGCTCCTTGACCGTATCAGAAAGTTTGCATAGCTGAGGTTGGGAATGTACCCCTACTGCCTGGCCTAGGTGTCATTCCCTGATACCCTTATCTGAGTCGTAGCTCAAGTGGAACAACACTGAAACCTTGAGAATTTTTTAGTAGCTACCACCTGGGACTGTGGCCAGGACAGAAATTTACAGATGACTAAAGCCAATCATCTTGTGAACCTATAAAGGTGGTCCTAAGTGAGACCCTTTGAGCTCTCCTGGACCGCAGCGGGCTGCACCCAGCATCTCCCTCTGAGTGGGATGCCTCTCAGAGCTTGCGAACTCCCAAGTTTGCGATATTCGGAGGACTGTTACCAACTGCCACGGGACCTGGGCTGAAACCCTTCACTCCTCGAGGCTCGACCCTCAGCCGTTGAGAAATGCCGAGACATTTGACGTGAATATTTCTTCACTGAACTCGAGGGGAATTTTTAACAGGTACCTTTTGTACATTTATATATATTTCTCTGTGTGTGTGTGAACTAATAGTAAGCATAACCTTGTTGTGATTGTAGTAGACTCTACTAACTTACTTTGTAAATGTTAAATTAGTTAATGACTAAGTGCTGCTAAAATCTTGTGATCCACCTTAAAACTGTGAATGAACCTTAGACTGCTCCTAAACACTTATAATCTCTTAGACATAAACCGTTGACCAAGTCTGGGACTAAGGGTAGATCCAGCCGGGTCTACTCTGAACCTCGTGACTCAACGAGAGAGTCTCCTTTACCCTTTTCATCCTTGGTCTCATTCTAGCTCAATTATAACACGATTTTCCTTTATATGTTTCATCCATGTAGTAAGTAGTAGAGTGAACTTTGCCATAAAACTCTGTTAAGTCACACTTTTATAAATTACTATTAAAATCACTTTCTGCTAATACCTTTGACGGTGATTCTTTAAGCGGCCTCTAAAACATTCACAACAGAGACTCATCCCACTGCCTTACAGCAGCTCCATAAGCTACCACCTCTCATGGTACCATGGCCTAAACCTCCTCTCCTGCTGATGGGAGGAGGAAGAAGGTCTTACATAGCCACTAACCAGATCTGTTGGCATGTCCAGACTTTGTTTAAAAACAAGTGACATTTGAAGACAGTCAGCCTACTGTGGTTAAAAGCAGGGACATCACTTTGCATTGTCTGCAGGCAGAAGCCAGCTCTGCTGCCTGCACCTCTGCACCAGCTGGGGAGGGAAGGCAGGATGTGTCACTGATGGCACCGATGATGGATGCTCACTCTCCTCCCTTTCTGCCTGGAGGCTTTGCTCAAGGAGAATTAGAAGTATTCAGACGTTCCTCCGGGTGCTCAGCAGCCTTAGAGCAGTGGGGACACCTTAAGGCTGCAAAGATGTCTTTAAACATGTTAAATTTACTGCACTTGCACGGATAAGAGTGTGGTGGAGATAGTTGCTCCAGCACATCCGGAGATATTGAGGTCGTTGCATAACTGCCCCAGTGAGCACGCAGGCATGCTGCACCCTGGCCAGAGGCATCGGCTATGGGATGAGCAACTCGGTGCAGCCAGTTCATGGAAAAGGTTAATTAAGAGTGACCAAGATACAGCCAAGGGTGCTAGGAGCCTGCAGGAGAGGGTGTCTCGGGGACAGGGCCTGGGTCAGGCCATCTGTTCTGGATTTTGATTCCCTTCACACGTTGCTCTCCATCAAGCTATCAAGGCATGCAGAAAAACTAGCACTTGCTTAGCAGTGAAGAGCAGCTGAAATCCCAGCAATGTCACAGGCGGCGTTCGATCACTCGGGATGCCCGGGGGTCCAGTGTTAAGCTAAGCAGGAGACACAAGCTGGGCTGGGTTAGCAAGGCGCACCCAGGCTGGCTGCACCAGGCGCTCCTGGGCCAGGCACCCAGAGCTGGCAGACAGGAGAGGTGAGGAGAGTCTGGGGCAGCCATGCAGGACCATCCTGCTCCTGCGCCGTGCAGCCTGCCATTTACAGAGCTCGTGCCTGGCCTCATGCCTTAGCAAGGCAAAGGCAAGTCCTTGCAGAGTGACAGGGAAGTGGCTCAAGATGAACCAAAGTCACCTGGATGGCACTGGGTCTTGCAGAGAGTCCTGGACACGGTGGAAGAGCACCTGCCCCAGGAGGTACATGGTCTGGAAGATGTTCTGCATGGAGTAGATCCTGCCTGTCTCCGCAAGGAGGGGGAGCGGGGCACTGTGCGCGGGCAGGGGGCACGCATCCGGCCTGGGGTGCACACAGAATCATGTCTGTTATTTCCCGGTCTCATACAGCACGGGCACAGCCTGGCGTTTGGCAGTGCCCTTCATCTCTTCAGCAGCTCCAAGCATCTCTGGGCAATGCCATTGGCACCCAGACCCCCATGTCACCAAGTGGGAGAACCCCCTCCAGCAGCCCCCCAGGCTCAGAGGCAGTCGCCTGACTCCTCTGGAGCCAACCATGGCTGTGTGATAACCAGACCTTCACCAGCTGCTCTCACGGGGGTTGCAGAAGGCAGCTCTCCTGCCACCCAGGACAACCTGGACTTCTAGGGGGAAAGGTGGCTCTGCTCTGGGATTAAGTTAGAGACAATTTCTCCACTGGAGAGACTCCAGAGCCCAAGGTCATGAGGAGAGGATCACTATCACCATGCTACTGTTCACAAGCTACACTCAAAGAGCTGAAAAGCAATTGTGCTCTTAGCCCACCCTGTCTGCAAGGCACCGCAAGTTTCAACAACCCTTGTACAAACCCATTTAAGCCCTGGTGCTTCGTTTGCCAGTGGTCACCTGCCCGTAGGCCCCAGCACTCTGCCATGCTGGTGCTGGAGCAGGAGAGCACGTTGCAAAGCACAGAGAGGAAGATGGGCAGAGCCAGAGAGACCAGGACAAGCCAGAGTGGGTAGCGAGGTCCTCTTGGCCCAGTGGCCAGGCAAGGATCGACAGCGCTCCCAGCCTGCTGTGAGAGGGGACGTGTTCTTCCGCTGTGTCTCAGCACAGAGCTCATCACCCTGGGGACAAACAGAGCTGCCTTCAATGCTGCCTGGCACAAACCTCTCTGATGCCAGAAGCCACGTTCCTCTCGTGCAAGAGTAGGACTTGCCAGGCACTGCCTTGTCCCAATCTGGATACCCCCCACCTCAGGGCACTGACACCAGAGAGCATCAAAGCAGCACAGACAACTGGAGATGCTGATCCCCACCCACCCCAGATGGCTCTGGATTCATGCTCACCGCTCATGGTGCTGGCCCGGGCTGTGCAAGGCCAGCTGGGCACAGTCACTTGGAGTCCTCTCCCGTCGTGACCTGCTGCTGTGATGGCCCTGTTAGCATCAAACACAACCGTGTTAGCGCAGAGACCCTGCACAGGGTGAGCCCAGCCCTGTGCCCTGCGTGGTCTGCAGTGCCAGGAGCCCATCAGCATGGGGAAAGCACTTGGTGGTGGGAGCATTACATGAGCCCCAAACCTGGTGAGCTGATGCTGGAGCAGGTGGGGTGACACGCTCGGAGCACGGTGAGGGTCATCAGCAAGGAGCCTGCTGATCTGATCTCTATTCAGATCAAAAATCCTCAACCTAATGCGTCCGGTAATGGCTCTTTAATCTCAGGGAGGTGAAAGCACTTGAGAAGGGAGATCAGTAGCTCCAGCAGCCAAACCAAGCCTTTGCCTGCCCATGTCAGGGGCCGTTCTTTGAATTAGTTTCACACAAGGTCAAAATCTGCTATCAGCTCTGACACCAGAACCCTCTACACTGCAATGATGAAACACCTCTGACTCGTACTTCATCCAGGAGAAACAGTGGTTGAAAAGGGACTTCAAAAGTAGCAGGAGGAGATTGCGGAGGGACTCACCTACCTCAGCCTATCTCCTGCTCACAAAATACGGTAGGAGATCTGGCTGAATCGATGTCCCAGCACACAGATATGTACTGGTTATGGGACTGAAAGAGATCCTACCACCCCTACACCCTTGCTCCTAGGACTCCTAGGACCTCCTAGGAGGAGGTAGCACTCTGGAAGATGAATTCTGGCTTGGGCTGATAACAGACCTCTGGAGAAACCCAACACTGGGATTGCTCCCCCTTCCCACCACAGGCAATCCCGTCCGCTCTCAATACAGTACCGATCGTTTGCGTTTCTGGGAGCTTGATCTGCTGGCTATGTGCAGAAAAGGGAGCTCCCTGAGGCAGGTGGGCTGCGCAGAGGAGTCCGGGGACATGTGCACCATGACAGATTTTTAGCAGGATGGGCCTCAAACTGGCATCTGACATTTCTACAGAGAGGAGAGAGGGAAGAATTAAACCAACCTGAATGCCCTCAGGACAGGAGAGAAGAGAGATCTCCATGTAGGAGAGCCAACCCTGTGTCTAGTGTTACCAGACGTACATCAAAAACCATGTCCCGCAGGTGTGAACGGCAGGACAGCCCAGAGAAGCATGGACTGGAAAGCAACCGGACACACTGCTCCAGGAAACTGAGGTTTGGGAGCTGTTTTTCAAAAAAACAGGGCCGTATGTCTCTGCATCCCAAAGCAGGGAGCCTACCAAAGGCCAAGAGGGAACTGTAAGAGATGTGGAGGGAGATGCCTCCACATTTTGCCCCTCACCTTTTGGAACTAATGCCCCTCCTGCCTTCTGTTGGTCACCTTTGCCCACCTCTCCCCAAGCATCTCTCCACCACCCTGTCCTAACTTCCAGAAGAAAGCTGACTACAGTATCTGCCCCTGTCCTCTCCTCTTGCAAAGCAAACCACTGGGGACTTTATAAAGGGATCCTACTCCCTAGGATGTTGTAGAGCCCCACCAACCTTCAGCCACCCCAAAAGACAATCCAGGACATTACCTGCAAGAGAAATCCTATCAGGGATGTGCATCCGAAAGGAAGGAGGGACATCCTCTGTCATTGGCTCCTCATCCACAGGGCTGAAGCTATCTGCTACCTTCAGCCTGTTGGGAACCTGCATCCTTTGATTGATGGCTTCTGTGAAGAGCAGGTCACAGCGGACTCGGTTCAGGTCCAGTCCCCAAAACGGCCACATCTTTTTTGATTTCCTCAGATTGCTTGAGCACCCTGGGGTTTCACACAGAGAAAAAGAAAGCTGAGCGAAAGTGGTAGCTCTTCCAAACTGGCACCTGCACAGGGACAACACACGTGCTGTAAGACAGCTAAAATACGGGCTGAAACAACCCAAAAGACAGACACTGTCGGAGTCGTCCCAGAGAACGGGGTGTCCCATGAAGCCCAGCTGGCAGGGACAAGGGAACGGGGCTGCTGCAGGTGGGAACTGCTGCCTGGCAGGGTGAAAAAGGAAAAAACTCCTATGTGTCCTGGGAGCAAAGCATGAGCTTAGCATCTATTGCCTCAGTTGATAGCAAGGAAAGGGCAATAGTTCAGCACACCTGTGGGAGAAGAGCAGTTCAGTATACCCTAAAAACTAGTGAAAAAAAAAATTATTTTCCATCCAGAAGTAAAGTTTTTTGGAGGGCTGGGAACACAGTTTTGTGTTCATACACTTCAAGGAAAAATGAGGTTTTCTAAAAACAAAACACACATTTTAACGATAAGATTCCAGGTTACCACAGGAAAAACTGAGCACTAAACTCCTTCTCTGCACATACTTTCGCTGCAGTATCCCCCAGGGCCATACCCCACTCCCCACCCAATCCAGCACCCATCTCCTCGGGTGACCAACACCAAGCTGAACAAGAAGGACTTTGCCCTGAGCAGAGCTGCCAGATGCTGAACCATCCTCCCACAGGGGAAGGAGAAGCACACATCAGCTCCCCCAGGCCAGTGCTGGCTCGGCTCTCTCCCAGGAGGGGACCGGCACTGAGGAGGGACAGAGTCTCCAGCTCTCACTGCTCCTGGGGGCAGCCGACAGCAGGAGCAGGACATGGGACACGGACACTATCTGGGGCTTTGCAGCTGCTCAGGATGCACAACTGCCCCGTGCCTCAGTTTCCCCTTTGCCAAGTCCCAGGGCTTTGAGAAGTGCCCTTGTGTCCCAATGCTTTCACTGAGCGATGCGAGCAGAGGGCAATCAACATACACTTTTGGGAGAGGAGCCCCAAAAAACACCTTCCTGGCTCCCAGCAATTGCACTCTTTATTCCTTCTCAAAAAGCTGCAGCCGAGGAGAAAACCCCAACAAGCGAGGGCTGCTGAGGCTGGCAGACCCCAGTCGGACCCCAGTGCTGCCCTGGCATCTGAGACGTGCCACATGCATGCACAGGCCCCCTGCGCCCTCCTTGCTGCCGCCCTTTGAGCTCACCATGCCCAAAAAGGTCCCCCTTTGCTTCTAGGTCAAAATCTCCACCATAAGAGTGGCTGCCTGCTCCAGCACAGCCCAAACAGCCAGAGGAAGGAGAGGTTTTCCTCTTCAAAGCTCAAGGGGGGGAAATGGGAGGAGGCAAGTGAGTGGGAGTGTGCAGGGGCCCTGCCTTCTTTGATCACGCCCGGGGACTATATTTAGCAGCCAGGTCTCTGACACTGCGTTTCCAGCTTACCAGGCTGCTCCCATCCAGCAGCAGCCAGGGCTGCCCACCACCACCCTCGCTGCTGCTTCTCAGGGCGCTTTGGACCCTCTTGCCTGACCCAGCCACCTGCCACCCTCTGGGATATCACCCAAGGCAGAGGAGCAGAGGGAAATCCCTGGGGAGCAGCAAGGCCTCCCAAAGCCCAAAGGACCGTGGGAGACGCAGCCCCCAAGCCACCGATCCCGCCCCCTGCAGCAGCTGGGCCCTGTAACTCCAGGTACACGAGGGCGGCAGAACCAGCTCCACATCTGCAATAACCAGCACTTCCAGTGATCACCTGCCTCGCGCTGCTCTCTCCTCCTCTGTCATTAAAAACCTTAAAACATTAAAAAGAGACAGAAATTTGCCCAGCATCAGCTGTGGCAATCTCCTGCTTCCAGCCGCACAGAGATGAGATCCCTGTCTCTGCAACCAGGTCTGCCCCAGAGGCACTGCTGGAGACACAGTGTGCAGGGGCACAGCAACCCCCGGCTGCCCCACACCTTCTCTACCACCCTGCCCAGATCCAACACTGGCAAGGGTGACACCAACCCATGGGTGTCACAACACACACGCACCCTGCTTCTCCCCAAAACCTCGAAGAAAGTGGATTTTTGCAGGAACCCCCCACTCGGGCATGGGGCAGTAAGTCCTGGGATGGTCCCACAGGAGAAACCTGCATCAGACACCCAGCCCCATGGTCCACAACCACCAGGTTTCTCCTTCACATTTTTGGTGCTTTAGAGGAGCAAACACCCTGTGTTGCTTTTTCAGCCTGCTCTCTGGGAAACCAGCATATATTAATAACAATAAATCTGGAGAGGGCAGATCAGTTCATTTTCTAATCACCTATGAAACTGCTGCAGCTCCCAAAGAGCAGAGGGATGGGAGGGGAGCGAGAAGCAGGCTCTGAGAGACTAAGCTATTAAGAAAAGAAAAAAAAAAATCAGCTGTCAAAACACATAAGAACAAAATGCTTAAGTGGCTGGATTTCCTCCTTTAACTTTCTCTAGGGCTTTTTCTAGCTATTGCCAAGCAACCCCCCCTCGCCAGCGGAAGAAGACTGCTTCTCAGCCTCTGCTTTGGCACTTCTTGTATTTGCAGCGACAGGGAATTTCCGGCTCACTAAGCCTGTCAGTTGGTTTAAGTCCTGCAAGCCGGGAAAACCTGCCCTGGGGAGGGAAACCCCTCTCTCCGTCCCTCCGCAGCCCAGGATGCTCCATACAAGGCAAGCGGGGGTACCAGCCTGGTCGAGCACCCCCACCTTCACCTCTCAGGATGAGGCGCTGGGGTGAGCAGCCCTCTGCTAGAGGAGCTGACCTCGCTCACAGCTCTGCCCCTCAGCCTGGGGCTGTACCTTGTCACGGCAAAGAGGGGCTAACAGAGAGGGGAACGGG